GGCGAATCCGGTGTGGCATAAAGACAGCTCAGAGATGACCTGAAAACAGAAAAGGACATGAATAGGAAGTGGAAGGAAGGGCAGGCTACAAAGAAAGAATCCAGGAAGGCTGTATGGAACTGCAGAGACGGTGTCCAGAAGGCCAAAACTGAAAATGAGCTGAAGTTAGTGAGGGATGCTAAAAGCAACAAAAAAGCTTTCTTCGAATAAGCATGTAATAAAAGACACAGGAAAGAAAAGGTGGCTCAGCTACTCAACGAGGACATCAAAATGATGACAAAGAAAAGGCAGACTTTTTTCATTCTATGATCCTCACCAGCTGAGGTGAAGAGACAGGATCAGAGCTTGAGATTTACAGGCAAATGGCCAAGTTCCTAGAGTAACAGAAGAACTGGCAGAAGAACTCTTAGAACCATTGTCCATGATTACTGAGAAATCATGGAGGATGGATTAAGTGCCAGATGACCTCAGGAGCAATAATGATCCCTCCATCTTCAAAACAGAAAAGAGGAAGAAAGTCAGTCTGAAATCTATCCCTGGGAAAACTATGGAGCAGATTATAAAGCAGTCAATGTGTAAACACCTGGAAAACAATGCAGTGATTGCTAGAAGCCTCAAGAACAAATCCTGCCAAATATCCCTGGACAACTATGGGAATGCTGTAGACATAATACATCTTGACTTCTGCAAAACTCCTGGCAAGTGTCCAATGATATTCTGCTTAGCAAACTACCTCACAGGAGTCTAGAAACAACTATCAGGTGTTGTTTACAGCATCAGATGCAAAGAGTGCTCACGGATGGCACATCCTCAGACCGGGAGGAGGTTGTGAGTGGGGTACCGCAGGATTCTGCAACTGACTTGGATGAGGAAGAGCATGGAATGCCTATTAAATCTGCAGAAGACACAAAACTGGCATAGCTGATACCCTGGGAAACAGAAACAGTATTAAAATTATTTTGATAGGTTGGGAGTGCTGGGCTGAAGACCACAGAATGATATTCAAAGGGTATAAATGCCAAGTTCTGCTCCTAGGAAAAAGAAACCCAATGCATAGCTACCAGAAGGGGGATTCTTAGCACAAATACTGCAAGCATGTCGCATCTTGGAATTGTAGATCACAAGCTTGATACATAGCAACACCTGATGCAGCTGCTAAAAGGGCAAATGCTATTTGGAACCGAATTTAATGATTGATTGATTAAATCACTTCTACATCACATGAAGTGCTAGTTCCTCCTCTACTCAGTGCTGGTTAGGAGTACCGCGGCCAGTCCTGTACACTATAGTCCAAGGAAGAGCAGACAAACTGGAAAGGGTTCAGAGGGCAACAAGAATGTTCAGGGGACTGGAAACAAAGCCTTATGAAGAGAGATAGAAAGAAATGGGCATGAAGCATGACCAAAGGAAGGCTGAAGGGGGATATGCTAGTACTCTTCAAATGGGCTGAAATCACAGGAAGCCGGATGCCACCTGATCACCAGGAAAAACTGAGTGACTGTTAAGCAATATGGCACTGGAGTTGTCCATTGAGCAGGGGGCTGGACCTGATGGCCTTACTGGCCCCTTCCAATTCTATTATTCTAAGTATTTTAAGAAGTGGGCAAAAGACCAGTCCCTGTGGATTAAACTTAAATGGGGCTGCGTTAGACAATGACTGTCTTGGAACAGTGACAACAAATAACTGTAGAGATAAATGACTGCAAATGCAAACAGAAGGTACTTAATCTTAGAACCACGGGTTCCTCTTTCTGGGTACAATCAGCACTTGAATTCCAGCGTTCCTTTGTTTGGAAACAAGAGTTTCTATCTTTATTTTGAGGAAGACAGCTCAATGAACAGTGCTGCTGTTGAAGCAGCTCTAGAAGTACAGTGCAACTTTTCTTCAGAGGCCTAATTCAAACCATATGACAGTCCTATCTTTAAACCATGGTTTAGTGGTCATGTACATGCCACAGCCCTGCACACTTCCTCTTTGTTCTCATCTGTGCGAATGCCTGCTTTCTTTCATGGTTTGTTCGAAGACAATCCTAGACATAGAATTATTAGCCATAGTGTGCTGAGGCACCTGAAATCAAGCTAGCCATTCACACCAAGTAAACTATGAAGAAGGGGTTAATAGAAGGACAGGGAGAGTGAGGTATGTGATACATTCCTGACAGTCAAATGATCATTTGTAGACTGGACCAGGATGACACCTGAACAAGATTATTACTGTTCAAAAGACAGAATGGACATTTACAGAACTCCCATAATCATTTAGCTTCTCAGTTTACTAAACATTTGTATCTTATTAGGGTATTTCCACCAAAACTCATAAACAAGAGACAATTACGGCATACTACTACGACCAATTAAATGAGGAACCTCATTATTGCTGAGAAGCTAAGTGCTTCTCCCAAATACTATGAAATTAGTTCCAGCTTCATAGTGATGTTAAAAAAATGATCAAGTATGCACTGCACAGAGAATAATGCTGCTAAAGACTAATAATGGATCCAAACATCTTGCAGTATTATTTGTCTTACTGAGCCTGCAGAACAGAAGCAATAAAGATTTACGAAGAACACTTTGTATTTCACAGTCAGAACTCTCAGAAATATTAACACCGATAAACAATGAAGTGATAAATTTGCCTATTAGAATACCTTCAAAACTACAATTTTGCAGTGTGTCTAGTTCAGCTTTCTGGAAGATCAACCCTGCAAATGACTATTTAGAAACAAGTCTCACAAGTGCTAGAAGCTGTGCTGAATGAAGGTACTGCCTGACTTAAGTTGCTTAATCACTTTCTTAAAAGCAGCTGCCCATGAACATCCTCAGCCTTTTTACCAAATATAGCATGAAGATGACATTGAACCAAGATACGGTGCTCAGTTTTGATGCTGAGGCCAAGCCAGTGGCTTCTGAAGTCACGTGTGCATTAAATAAAGGTGGGCCAGATCTACCGCAGTTGTACACAAGGGTTCTGTGATTCATAGGCCAAATGCAAACAATGATGAGCGGGCCTTGACATTGTCGCTAGGAAGAGGTGAACAATGAACACTTTCCTCAAACCATTACTTTTGCTTCCCACGCAACCTGTTATTCATGTCCATCCATTACTCCTGCTATACGTCTTCATGTCACAAGCCCTTAGAAAGCTCAGTCTTAACAGCATCTGATAAATAACATACATTTCACAGCATCTGATAAATAACATACATTTCAGACCAAAACCCATAGGTGACATCTTCCCTGGAAAGATCAAGGGAATAGCTTAGGAGCTTCTCTCACAATGTAAGCTCCAAGAATTACCAAATTTAAAAGGCACAACAACACAAAGACACACTCACAGGCATCCTCAATAAAAAACAAAAGTAGTCTGTCAAGTTCTTCTAAACACACCTCCCCTTTTCTTTTTAAATATTATCCTACTTAATTAGTTGGCTTGCCATTGAACACAGTCTGAACAGAACAGCCTTATTTTGTATATACCTCCATAAAATTAAACCCAAGCAAGCCTGACAAGTCTGAGGACCAACCATGAAAAGTACAGTGCAACATACTATAGATTAACATGAATTCCTTTAAAAACCTCTTTCTTTAACATATAAACTCAGTTGAACTTACAGATTATCCCTTCCTTCTCACACCACTCTTACTGCTCACTGTTTATAGATATACTACAAGGAAAATCTCTCAAGGACCGTGCTCACAACCTCTTATCTACCTGGGTGCACAAACACTAAGCTCTGTAATTTGACCAATCCATATTTCGTAAATGGAGTTTGATGAGGCCGGATCAATAAATGTTGCACATTAGAGGGATGTTATAAGTAAAGCATGTGTTTACTACATAAAAACTTCATCATTTAAAACAGACACTATAAGCTACTGAAAAGCAGACAAACCCATTGTGTTTCTAATTCTCTGCAATCTTGGATTTCATCATTCTAAAACTTTTGCTAGCTTCAGTGAACCATCAGATGCCATTATCAAGGATATCAAACTGTCTCAGAAAACTAAGTGAAGACATCCAAAACAGCATTTAGTATGGAGGCTGAGAACATAGAAACAGAGCGAGTCAAAAGGGGTCTCCTGGCCCATCTAGTCTGACCTCTGGCTCCAGCTGACTCCGCTCACAACATGCCCACCATGTGCATGTCCAGCCTATCTTTGAATAGGCTATAAAGTATACATTTTTCAAATGTATGAAAAGACAAAGCCAGTTGCTCCAATTTCACTTGGGATATTGGGATAACTCAAGATTTTAGCTTTCCTATCAAAACTAGAAGCTTGGACAAAAATTATACCAAAAGGAAGCTTGTGATTGTGAAACACTGTACAGCACAAACTTTAAAAAGTTCCTAAAATCAGTTTCACTGCTTTTCAGAAATGACATTGCATTACATTAATCCGGTGTTGCAGGAGTGAACCATACCCAGGCTAAAATGCTATGATTTCATAAGTTTTAAAAAATCTATTTTTTCCAAAAGCAAATTCATGTGATAGCAGTTCTTAAAGCAATTAATTTTTCTATTTCATGTGTTTACTGGGCAGATATCCTGAAAACAAATAGAACAGCCAATGCAATTAAACAACAAATGACTCAACACCCTGCAGCTATTCTGAAAGACAACACTAGTACTCTGAAATCATTGAGCATGCCTGCAATTTACTATCCTAGTTCCTGAAAATTAACAAGCCCCAAAAGTTTCTCTGTTATTGTGCTAATCTACATTGCATACAAATATGTAAGATTTTGTTATCCAAAACTTTTCATGACTCAGAGACCTCCAAACAGCAGCCCCAGAGATCCCCAACCCGATTTTGCATAGAAGGTGTTTTACTGACCAACAGTGGGGTGTGTGCTGCTGAGTTTTCCTTACCCTGTAACTTTTCCCTACACAACCCAGTGCCCCGCAGCCTCGGCTGGTCAACCCTGCACCCACCCTACCCAGCAACACACACTTAAAGCACGTCTCTTTCCCTTACCCCCATCCCTACCTCCAACTTACCAAAAAGCAAAGCTGAGGCCAGTTGTGGATAAAATATCTATATGTGTAAATGGAGTAGGGTTCAGACAGATCTTTGGTGATCAGTCTCATGATATCTGGCATCTGCAGCTCGGACTCGTATCGGACATATCGTATCGTGAGTTCCCCTTTCTCCTCCTCCACCTGCTGCGGAGCCCAGGAAGAGTCTGTGGGGGGACCCACGGAGCATTTCTGCAAACTGCACGTGGAGGCCAAGGACCTGGAGAGAAGCAGCAGGGACTCCTCCTCCCCTTCCAGCTCCTGCTCCTGGCCTTCCTCCCCGCCTCCCCCAGCCAGCCCATTCCTGTCCCCGGCGGAGGGGCCAGAGGCATCGTCGTCGTGGTGGGGGCGGCGGCGATGGTGGTGGCGGGGCTGGGGCTGTGCAGTCCTTGCCTGGGGGTGGGGGACCCGGAGGTGGTTGCTGAGCGACGGGGGAGGCGGCGGCCCTTCCTGCGGCGGGTGCGGGGGCTCCTGCCCGTGTCCCATTGTCTTGCCAGGGGCAGGCCCGGTGCCGCCGCCGCCGCCGCCGCCTTTCTTGCTGCTGCTGCTGCTCAGGACCTTGCCCTTGAGGGAGCTCCGCAAGTGCCGCAAGTCCGGGCCGGCGATGAGCCCGTTGAGCTGGTGGTTGAGGCGGCGGGGCGGGCAGAGGCGGCGGCGCGAGGGGAGCCCCTCCCGCCCTTCTTCATCCCCGACCACCTCCTCCTCCTCCTCTTCCTCCCCCCCACGGGGCCTTCCGCCTCCGCCTTCCTCCTCCTCTTCCTCCTCCTCCTCCTCGGCGGCAGCTCCCGGAAAGGGCGAAAGCAGCGAAGCGGCGGCTCCCGGCGGCGAGGCGAGGAGGCTGCTAGGCCCGGGCGGTACCTCGGCCATGTCCTGAGGAGACCGAAAGGGAGAAAAAGAGACACAGGGAGAAGGAGAGCGTGAGAAGGAGAAGCCCCTGGCGCCCCCTCCCCGTGCCCGCCCGCGCCCCGCATTCCCCCTCCCCTCTCCCGCGCCCCCTCCTTCTTCCCCGTCCTCCTCCTCACCGCAAAGTCTCCTCAGCAGCAGCAGCGGCCGCGGCGCCTCCCGCTCCCCTTCTCCGCTCCTCCTCATCCAGCGGCCGTAAAGCGCGGGCAGGTTTCCTGTCAGGCCAGGCCGCCGCCGCTCCAGCGCGAAGCGGTGGCGAGCGACGCTTCGCGACGCCGCCTCACTTTACGGCGGCCCCCTAGGAAGGACTGAGGGAGAGAGGAAGGAGAAAGGGGTAGGAGGCGTGGCCTCGCCTGGGCGGGCGCGTGCTCCTCGCTCGCCGCCTTTGCCTCCCGTGGCGGCCGCGCGCGACACTTGGGCGGGCCATCGGCTCGCTTTACGGCTCGTCTCGTCTTGGTTACCGTACTCTATGGTCGCATCGGACTCTATGGTCGCCGCGCGAGGGAACCCCATGCGCCCGCGCCTGCTCCTTTCTTCAGGGAAGGCTCTCGCGGGGAGCGGAAGCTGCGCAGGCGCAGATGAGCCGCAGAATCGGCGGGAACTGGTGGGGATGAGGAGGGGCGGGGGCCCTACAACTGATGTTCACGAACAAGCAAAGGATGACACGTGTTAGTGAGTACACACAAGTCACGTGGCTCGGAAAATATATTTCGCGTGCCGATGCCAGCGGGGCAGTGTATGCACGCCAGGTTTTAGACTGAGGAGCTCTCCATGGTCCTGTACCATGGGCCAGTCACAGACTCTCACTCAACCTACCTCACAGGGTTGTTTTAAGGATAAGGTGGAGAGGAGGAGGAAAATTATGTAAACTGCTTTGAGTGTCTCGAAAGGAAAAAAGGGATTTAAACACAATAAACAAATAAATTAAAATTATTTAGGACGACAGATGGTAGGGTTCAGCACCCTGGATCACTGCTGTGTGGATATGCTGCCCCACTGCCTCTAGTGCATTTCTAGGGTGCAACTTTTGGCAAAACCTCTTTGGTTGTGCTTCCCTGGTGTGGGAGGCACCAGTTATTTTGGACTACAATTCCTAGCATTCCTGAATACTGAGAGCATAAGAAGAGTCAAGTGCCCAACCGGTCTAGCCTGCAGTTCACACAGTGGCCAACGCTTGGGAAATCCAGCAGCCGGGTGAGGACTGGCCCCTGGGTTGCCTTGCTCCCAGTGGAACAGTCTCAGATTCGCAGTCTCTCCTCATCGGTCATCCTGGCTGGGCTGATGGAAGCTGAGGGTATCCAGCTGGAAGGGGGCATAACCTTCGCGCTCAGGGCCACAGCCTAGGGGTGCACCCTGGGCACAAAGGGAAGGGCCCCCGAACCCACAGAGGCAGTGGAAAGCCACGGAGGCCAGTCTCAGCGGCTGAGCAGGCACGGGGTGCCGCGTCTGACACTCTGAACTTTGCAAAGATGTCAGTGTCAGGGGCTGGCCTGCTGAGATGCTCCGTTTCTTATTCTGAGTTTGCAAATTACCTCCTGTACAGTAAAAAGGTGCTCCTTCCCAAGCAAGGGTGGTGGTGTTGTTAGTTGCGAAGTTGTGTCCGACCAATTGTGACCCCATGGACAACCCTTCTCCAGGCCTTCCTGTCCTTCACCATCTCTGGAGTCCACCCAAGCCCACACCCACCGCCCCAGTGACCCCATACAGCCACCTCATCCTCTGCCGCCCCTCCTTCTTTTGCCATCTATTGTTCCCAGCATCAGGCTCTTCTCCTGTGAGTCCTTCCTTCTCATCAGGTGGCCAAAGTATTTGAGTTCCATCTTCAGCATCTGGCCTTCCAAAGAGCAGCCAGGGTTGATCTCCTCTAGGACTGACCTCCAGGCCTTCCTGTCCTCCACCATCCCCCAGAGCCCCCTAAGCTCACACTGACTCCATCTGGCCACGTCATTCTCTGCTGCCCCTTCTTTTGCCATCCATTGTTCCCAGCATCAGGCTCTTCTCCAGGGAGTCCTTCCTTCTCATATGGTGGCCAAAGTATTTGAGCTTCATCTTCAGTGTCTGGCCTTCCAAAGAGCAGCCAGGGTTGATCTCCTCTAGGACTGACCGGTTTGGTCGCCTTGCGGTCCAAGGGACTCGCAGGAGTCTCCTCCAGCACCACAGTTCAGAGGCCTCAATCCTCCGGCGCTCAGCCTTCCTTATGGCCCAGCTCTCACAGCCGTGCATGGCAAAGTAAGGGCGCAATCCCATGCTTATGTAGGCAGAAAAAGCCCTGCAAGTCCCAGCAAGTAGAAGCTAGAACAGGATTCGGTGCTATTTGCACTAAGGACCAGAGCAGCAGAAGCAAACTTCACTTAGTTCCTCTCGTCACGAGGGGGCTATGACTTGCGTGAATTTGAAATGTAATATATGCCTGCCTGCAGGGACCATTTGCTGAGGAGCTTGGGCAGGTGGAGGACTGGCACCCATCCTGCTGGAAGGACCCTGTGGGCAGCTGGCTGGCCACTGTGTGTGTGGAGTGCTGGACCGGATGGCCCCTTGGTGTGATCCAGCAGGGCTTTTCTTAGGTTGTTAATATGTGTATGCGCAGAGTATTTCTCTCTCCCCCCCGCACCCCATTCCCTCTGTATAAATATCCCGGTTGTGGCCCAACATGTTTCCTTTTGCTTTGCTCTGACCTCAAGAATGTAGACTCTGTTGTAAAGCATGGTATATGAAGGGGGAATAGAGCTGAAATAATTCCACGTGGCCACCTGAAGCACCCATACGTAAGACCAGTAAGGGTGCAGTCCCGTCAGATTTCTACCTGCTACAAAATCCTTGCCAAGTGGTTGCAGGAGGTGGCCTTCACCTCCAGTTTTCATGCTGCAGGACTTTGAGCTGTCTACTAGTGTTGTGCGAGCAGGGCTTGGGGATAAAGGCCTTTGGATTCAAGAGGTCCGTGGTGTCTTCCGTCCCTGCCCACTGGCTCACCCCCCTCCCTCCACTTTTTCTTCCTTTCCCATGGCAGTTTCCTTCCCTGCTGCCATGTAACTCTCTGTGGCAGTGTGAAAACCGTGCTCAGGTTTCTTGCTCCACTGCTGAAGCTTTGCCTCTTCCTTGGAGAAAGGAATCTGCAGCATCCTATGGTTTTTCAAATGCTTTCTGGTGGACATAGGGTTGCTCTGCAGCTCTGGGGCCAAAACCTTGCTGGCTTTTGTGCTGTGTGTATTGACCTGTTCCTTTCAGTGCGAGCTGAAATGATTATCGTGGCTAAATCTTACCATGTCAATTTGTACTCTGTTATCCAAAAATGCTGGGAACAATAGATGGCAAAAGGAGAAGGGGGCGGCAGAGGATGAGGGGGCTGGAGGGGGTCACTGGGGTGGTGGGTGAGGGCTTGGGTGGACTCCGGGGATGGTGGAGGACAGGAGAGCCTGGAGGAGGGTTGTCCATGGGGTCGCGATGGGTCGGACACGACTTCGCAACTAACAACAACAACAAATCCAAAAGTTAAAGATTCTGCCATATGCTGCTTTCGTTATATTTACAGAAAAGCTGGCTTTAAATATTTATCTAAACTTAATTTCCCTGTGTGCAAAAACTGGAAGCTTTACCCAAAAGAAAACAGAACCCTGGGATTTTGGCCTCTGGATGCAATGGGCTGCAACTCCCATTAGTATGTTGGTCAAAACATCTGCAGCGCACCAGGTTGGAGGATGCTGCTGTTCTACCTGTTTATCAGCGGGCTGGTGCATCCATCGGCCTTTTCAAACAGTCTTGAGACTTGTAAAGCAGTCTGTGCATTGTTGCAATTGATGTAATGTTGCGACTGAGACTGGTCCACTTCGTGCCGGCAGAAAGCCCTGCCTAAAGGAAACTTGGGTGTTCTGCTTCAGGCTCGGTGCTTGAAGTCATAAAGGCTTGGTGATGTCACAACTGTTGTGGATAAGGGGCTGCAGAGAGAGTGTTATCCTGTGGGTTGACTCAAAAAAGAGCTTAAAAGCTTTCCCTGATATAAGATGAATCATTAACAAGTATTAACCATGACACGCATCTTGCGCCTTTGTGCAGAAGTTCTTTGCTGGCTCCTGCTTCTGGACCCAACTCAGGGGTTTGCTTTTGACCTTGAAAGCCATAAGCAAGTGAGACCCATGTGGCTGAGAAGCATCTCCCACACAAACATTTCTCCACATTAAGGTCTCCTTCAGAGGGTCTTCACCAGATCCTCTGCCTCCTGAGATTAGGCAGGACACTACAAGAGGCCCCTTTCTTTGGAGCTGCTCAAGTTACAGAGCTGTCTTGCCCGCATACCCACTTAGAATCCTAGAACAGTAGAGTTGGAAGGGACTCGAAGGCCATCAGATCCAACCCCCTGCTGGTGCAGGACACCAAGTCACACCATCCCACGCAGGTGGCTGTCCAGGCGCCTTTTGAATGTCTCCAGTGAGTGAGAGCCCTCCAGTTCCCCAGATAATAGTTCCACAGTTGTACGGCTCTGACAGTCACGAAATTCTTCCTGGTGTCTAGTCTCAATCTGGTTTCTTTTAACTTAAGTCTGTTATTCCATGCCCTGCACTCTGGAATGAACAAGAAGAGATCTTGTCCTTCCTCTTTCTGACCTTTTAGGTACTTGTGGTAGGTGATCATATCCGCCCCCCCTCCCCCCCAATCTTCTCATCTCGAGGCGAACGTGCCAAGTTACTTCAATCTCTCCTCGTGGGGCTTTGTTTCCAGTCCCTGGATCACCCTTGTTGCCCTCTTCTGCACCCTCTCTAGCTTTTCTCTCTCTTTTTAAAACATAGGTACCCAGACCTGGACACAGGATTCCAGGTGAGGTCTGACTAGTGCTGAGTAGAGGGGAACTGGTACCTCGTGTGCTTTGGAAGTGATGCTTCTGTCAATGCAGCCCGTTTAGCTTATGATCATATTTATAACAACTCCACGGCCTCATATTTAGCTTATGATCTACAACAACCCCACGGTCCTTCTCTTGGTGCCACCTGTTTTATCTCGGAGGCAGCTCATGGAAAGTGTCATGTTCCTTCCTCTGCGCTATTAATGGTATTAATGGGATCCTGCTAATAGACGTTAGAGGCAGTTTACTTGATGGACCTGCTACTATATAAAAAGAGTGATCTAAACCCAAGAGGCAGGGCGATCTGAGATCACATTCTTGTCTAGATTCAACTTCTCTTGCAACATCAGTGGCGTCAATCAAGCACTGAGAACCCCTCTTATACAAAAAAGTGTCTTCAACACAGAAGGTTTG